GTTTTTTTAATTTATTTATTTGTTTGTTTTGTTTATACATGCACTGGGTACAGTCAGAAGCACGGGAGGGCGAGAGAATTCACCAGAGCCAGAGCGGGAGGCAGAGCAGGCAGAAGGACCGAAGTACACTGCTGAGGGGAGCAGCGGGTGGCAGGAGAGGTCTGCGCGCCATGTGGGACCCTCCTCCAGTGGCCGGGGAGCAGCCGGGGATCGAACCGGCACTGCAGAGGCCGCGGGCAGCTTCGCAACCCAGCGCTCAACCGCTGCGCCACCGGGGAGGCCCAGCATTTCCTGATACTTAAGAGTAAAAACATGAGCATCTGAGATATATAGGAATTTAGAATCAACTAGAATGTGGCAGTGTCTACTGCAGGAAATATTTGGTATTATGTGTATGATGCCTCTTGCCCTAGAATTCCAATTGTGGGTGATTTTCCCCAGGCAAAAGGCAACCTATATTGCTTATTCCCTTTAATAAAAATGGAAATTTGAACTCAAAGGTTAATGCATACAATGCTTATGTCCAATTTGGAAGACACATTATCTCCAATGATGTGGAATTATCAAGGAATTATATGGTTATATTTTAATACCAGGCATCTGATGTTTGTGTCAAGATTTTGTAGCAGAATATATAGCTGATTTCAAACAAATATCAAACAGCTTAGAAATGGGGATTTATTTGTTCTTTGAGATATTGGTAAATGAATTTTCACCAGTTTGGTTGTCAAAACTTTACCTCCTTTAAAGCAATGTCTTTTAGCTAGTGGTGAGTGGTATTAGGAAAAAGAGCAAGCCCAATTAAGGAAAGAAACAAGGACAGCAAAGCCTACGATTAAAATCATACTTAATCCTTTTTTTTCTTTTTCTTGTACTGAGGACTAATTTACAGAGCTCATTCTATTTTGGAGGCTATCTCTAATTTACTTATACCAACATAAACAACAAGGCTTCTTCTCATGTACTTTTCAGTATTTTGTAATTGTTTTTGTTTCTCTGATATGTGGTATGGCTCTGTGGAAAGAGAAATTCAGTGGTTTAAGCAATGTAGAAATATGGCTGATTGGTCATCTTTTCATTAAATAATAATGAATAGTATCAGGTAATTTTTGTTGAATACTTACTGAATGATGTGTAAAACAGATACATTGGGAGATCAGAAAGGGTGTCAGTTGACCTAGAGTGGGCTGGGATGGAGTTACTGAAGGAAAAACATTGGAACTGTTTTTGGAAGGAATTTTTAGCATTTAGAGAGAGAATAATCTCACTTAGTTAATGCAGAAATGAGAGGGCTGCAGCATATTCAGGGAAGAGTTGAATAGGTGATTTTAATTGGAGTGCTGGGTTCATGTTGGGAAGAGTAGGACACATTGGAAATATCTGTTGAGGTTAGAGTTTGAAGATGATGAGATGAGCAATCTTAACATGACAGGCAACAGTGATTTAGGAAACTCTGTTGATGGCGTATGAAATGGGCTAGAAGAGTAAGGGAAGGAGGTAGAAGATTAAAAGAGAAAAAATGCATAAATTTATTTATCATTATTTATTTATTTATTTATTTATTTATTTATTTATTTATTTAGTTATTTATGCAAGCGCTGGGTACAGTCAGAAGTGCGGGAGGGTGAGAGAATTCACCAGAGCCAGAGTGGAGAACAGAACAGGCAGAGTGATGAAGTAAATTGCTGAGGGGAGCAGTGGGCAGCAGGAGAGGGCTGTGCGCCATGTGGGACCCTCGCCCAGTGGCTGGGGATCGAACCGGTGCTGCAGAGGCTACAGGCAGCTTCACAACCCAGCGCTCAACCACTGCACCACCGGGGAGGCCCAAATTGCTTAATTTGAACTAAGTGGGTGGCTATCAGAATGGACAAGAATGGGTAAACTAAGGAGTTGTGAAGGAATAATAAATTGGGGAGTCACTTCTTTATGGATACAGAGGGAAAGAGGACTGTATCAAAAGATGGTTCTGAAGCTTTAAACTTGGAGACCAATGAGAAAAAGAAACTACTAACAAAGAAAAAGAAGACAGGAGAAGGATTACGGCCTTTTGAAAGATAGTGTAGGTTTCAGAATTGTGGGTTGATTTTATCCATGAAATATGTGAAGATGTCAAGCATGGAGTCACAGATGAGGGAGAGGAACTTGGGAGAGAAATTAGGGCTAATGCACATCAAGGTAAGGAAATAATACATGTGAAGTTACTTTTTGAAGTTTGAACCTAGTGACAAAGGAAATAAGATTATAGAGAGAGCAGGAGGACCAGAGTAAGATTTTTGTTGAGAAGGTAGAAATAGTACGTTTGTAGCTTGTGAGAAGTCAGTAGATATAGAAATAGACTAACAATGCTGAGGGGTGATAATTAAGGGGAATTTATTGACAAGAAAAAAAATCCATTGATCTTAAAATACATGTTCTTAAAATGGTATTTAGTTTAGCTCTGGTCAGTCAGTACCTTATTGTACAAAGCAAGTCCTTTAATTTTAGGAGAATAAATGCTTTGAAATAATTACTTGGTTTAGTGTATCTTCATGCTTTGGGGGAAATATTTCTCTGTCATATTGGTGTTAAGACCAACAGTTGAGTGAAACCATCGCACTTGTAGATATCTTCCTATGTTACAGAAATTTGAAATTCTGTTCTGGTTTACTAGCCGCCTTCTGTTCACAGGTTACTGCAAACTTTATTAGGATCAGTGCTAAGTCTACAAAATAATTGAGTCCTCCTAGTTGAGTTGTTACTGGAGACCCAAGTCAATATTCTCCCTGAATGTTGGGCAGTTTGGGTGATTTATTAACAGAGAGAGTATATTTGTCATTATATTACTTCATCAGCATGCTGAATAATACTCTAGTGGCCTCATAAATAAATAAAAAAAGCATTGACCAGTCTGTTAACATGTTTTATACTTTCTCAGTGAAATCTTTATTGTCCAGAAAATGAAATAAATAAAGTCCATTTACTGCTACCCATAGCTATCCTCATGGGCAATTTTTATTCTCTTCGTGAGTAGAGTGTCATCGGGAAGAGCACAGGCTTTGGTGGCAATTAAAGCTCAGTTGAAATCATGCTCTGTTCCTCTGTAATTACTTGATCTTAAGCCAGCTCCTTCCTTTTTTATTAAGGCTGCTTTTTTTAGAGTAGTTTAGAGCAGTAAAACTGAGGCGACAGTGTAGTGATTTCCCATTAACTCTGGCCTCCAACTCCAAGTGTGTAGGCTAGTTTATTTATACCACTAGTTCTCGGTTTCTTCATCTCTACAATGCACGTCCTAACTTTCACTTGATAGAACGTTTTTAAAATGTCTGATGAGTACTCAGTAATGTGTATATGTTCATAATAGAAATATAATTGCTTTAAAGTGCATCGGGGGAAGTATCCTATTCACAGGGTATTTCATAAATGTTTCGTGATGATAACTCTTAATGTGGTCCTCATGCCTAGAATATTGACTCAATGAATGAATGAATATGTGCATGTGTGCAGGAAGGAGTAGTTGTATGGCAACCCTTAATCTCTTCCATATACTGTACCATTTATCTTAAAGTTTTAAATGTGATGAGTAATTATAGGAAGGAATTGATGCATTTGAGTCCCAGGTTAACCCTGAGTCTTAGGAACCCTGGTGATTTCTGTGTCTGGTCTGCTAACTTCTTTCACAGTTAGAACTTTTTCCAGTGCTGATCTTAGAAATAGTAAAACAGCCAGTTCTAGCCAGGCCCCATCACCTGAGACTCTCAAATAGTTCACCAAAACAACAATAATAACAAAAAAAAAAAAAAAACCAAACAAAAAAACCACAAACAAAAAACTGTTGCTTTGAAGCTCTTTTTTCCCTCACATTTTATTAAAAGAAGTTTATTTTGCAGTTATATAAACAAAGCCTTTTTTGCATGGATGGATTTTTTTTTAAAGATTTATTTATGCATACAAGAACTGGGGTACAGGCCAGAGATGCAGTGGGTGAGGGGATCTACCAGAGACAGAGCCGGGAACAGAACAGGTGGACTGACTGAAATACACTGCTGAGGGGAGCAATTAGCGAGACAGGAGAGGTCTGCTGTGCCATGTGGGTAGCTTCCTGGCCGGGGATCAAACTCATGCTGCAGAGGCTACAGATTGCTTCACAGTGCAGTGCTTAATCCCCTGCACCACCAGGGAGGCCCACATGGGTGGATTTTTATACCTTGTATGAAAAACTCAAATGTATCCAAAATGATATAATGAATACCCATATATCCAAATCATGTATTTAACATTTTGCCATATTTTCTCAATTTGTTTGTTAGAATTGTTGTTTTTATCTTTGGCATCATTGTTCATTTTTGTACATTTTTATACTTGCATGCTTTCTCCTTTTAGGTGTATTCCCTGTAAAATTCCCACCACCAATTCACCTGTGAACCATAACCATAGTCCCTTGTGCTTTGAAGCGCTTAAATAAGTGTTGGCTCTAGAAATTATTTGTAGGTCAGGACCTCGTAACTCCCGGGCCATCGAGCCAGCGTTCCTCTGGTTGGCAGTTTGGTAGATGCTGATGCCCTGTGTTCTTAGTGCAGAGAGAAGAGTGCAAGCCACCAGCCCACCATCCCCAGCCGCCTCCTGAACTGTGCTTCCTTATCTGTAGTCTGAGAATTAACCTGATAATGTTTTGTGTTTTATATGAGATAACATGTCTTGCTGCCACCTAAAGCTCTCAGTAAATACTATGGCATGGCTATCATGCCATTGTAATTTGACCCATAATGGAACCTCAATAAAAGTGTTTCCTTTACCCACTATGTCCAAATGCTCCATCCCTATCACCACTTCTGATACTAGGTACCAAATAGATGACTTTATGGCCATAGTTGCCTCAGATCTGTTAATAGTATATGAATAGCTGGATTAATATACTTGTGAATGTCAAGGATGAGGTTTTAGAATTAATTTTTTATGGTTTTAAAATGATTTTTCTTAATAGCACCATATAAATGTGTGCATTAAACTGCCTCGCTGTACAGATGCTGCTGACCGAGTACTTGGACATGAAGAATACTCGTACGGCCTCTGAACCATCAGCACAACTCAGTTATGCCAGCACAGGACGAGAGTTTGCCGCCTTTTTTGCCAAGAAGAAACCTCAACGGCCCAAAAATTCTCTTTTCAAGTACGTATCTGCCGGCTGGTAAGATAGCAGGTGTCAAGGAGTGCTAGATCCGAGTGGGATGGCTTTCTCCTTGAATGACAGCTGTGACTTCACCCAGTTCAAGCTGAAGTCATTTCTAGAAAGTGAATGTCGGTTCACTTTTGTGTACTTCTGTTTTCTGTAAAGGGAGGTGTCTGTTTTGGAATATGGTCACCAAATTATTTAGAACTTCTAATAAAAAATGGCTAGAATTCATTTCTGAGGAATTTTATATAAAATGCAGAGAAATGAAATTTCCCAGTTGTTTCTGGGGAATTTTATATGAAGTGAGAGGAAATGAAGTATTTCAACTTTTGAAAAGCCCCAAGTGCCAAGAAACGACCTCTGTTAATAAAGTTATGCAAATCTCCTCTGCTAACTAGTATTGGATTTTATTTGATTTAATATAAGAGAGATCTGGAAATTCTTCTTTTCTAGTTACAGTCATAGTAAATCCACCAGGCCATGTACCTATGTATATGTCACTTGTAACAGCTAACAGTGATGACATTTTTATTATCAATGTTAATTAGTATAACAGTAACTGCTACTGGTTTGGTTTTATCTGTTCCTTTGTTTTGTGTCTCTGTTTTCCATGTACACAAGTCCTTGAACCTATGTATCTCTGAGGAGTTAAGAGATGTATGTCTTTGAGGAGTTAAGAGATATTTAAGGAGTTGTGTCTCTAAAGCTAAGCTTGTCGAGTAAGCATTGATGAAAGCTTACTATGTACCAGTTACCATAGTAGATGAACTTATCAAAATAATCTCAAACATAATGCAAGTCCGATTACATCAAATTTTGGCAGCAGAACTAGTGGCTAATATTTAAAAGTCCTTACTAAGTGTTAGCTAAGACATTAAGTCATATTCATGAGGTCTCATTTACTCATTACAAGAACCTTATAAATGTAGGTTCTGTTTTTAATCCTCTTACACTTAAAAAAATGGAGATGCAAAGGAGATTAAGTAATTTATATAAATTCACATGCTAGTAAGTGGTAGAAACAGGCTTTAAATTTTGGTGGACTTGTCTGTTCCTTTCTTTTTTTTCAATTGTATTTTTCATTGTGGTAACATAGGTATAAAACACCAAGTATGGTGAAGAGGCTTAAGTTTATGTATTAGTTACCATACCCACCACCAAGGCACCCATGATCCTCTACCATAGTCTGTTGGCCCCTCTCCACTTTGCTCCCCACCCCCCTAAACCCCCATCCCTCCTCCACCCCGTAACCTCAGTTCCGCAGTGAGATTTCTAGGATGGGTTTTGATTTGGCTTTGTCTGTTCCTCTGCTTCATATTTTCTGTTCCACATATGACTGAAATCACTCAGCATTTCAATCTATCTCTCTTTTGAGGAGTTAGGAGATATTTAAGAAGTTGTGTCTCTAAAGCTAAGCATGTAAAATAACTATACAAGTTATTTTATACTATCTGAGTATTTTGAATTTATTCTTAAATATTTGGAGCTCCAGTATCTTTTATTGATTACTTTTGAAATTCATTTTTATCATGAATTCATAGAGTTCTTAATCATTAAGGAAAGTTGCAACAGTTCATTTATCTTGTGGCCTAGAGGAGAGGGGATTTACTGAGCCGAAACTGGAGGAAAATCCATTTTGTTTATTGAATGTGTTCCTTTTTTCTTTCTCACACTTTTATTCAGTGGTTGGATCTACTATCAGTTAAAATACTTTAGTCTGTAAGGAACTTAGAACCTTAAGTGAAATAGATTAACTACTGGAAAGTTATTATCTCATACAATAAGGATGAATGTGAAGGATTTTTTAAAATTCACCACTGCAGTATCATCATGGACCCAGTCCTATTTATTTTTCTGCTCCTAGTTCTCCACCAATAAAAAATGGTACCAAGGAAATAAAGGGTGTGATTCTTCCTGCATACCTTTTTAAAAGTAGATTTTAGGATTTACCAAAAAATTGAGCAGACAGTACAAAGTTACTTTATGACCCCTTCCTCCACAGTTTTTCCCCTTTTACTTGCATCTTGCATTGTGTGGTACATTTGTTACAATTGATGAGCCTGTATCAGTGATACATCATTGTTAGCTAAGGTCCAGTGTTTCTGTTGGGGTTTTCTTTGTGTCCAGTTCTGTGAATTTAGAGAAATGACGTAATGTCCTAGCCACCATTACAGTATCATACAGAATAGTTTCATGGCCATAAACAACATTCCCTGATCTCTACTTTCATTCCTGTCTATTTTTCATACCCCCTGAATCTCTGGCAGCCCCTGATCTTTATATTATCTCAATGGTTTGTCTTTGCCAGGATGCCTTACTTTGGGGTCATACAATCTGTAGCCTTTTTGAACTGACTTCTTTCACCAGCGATATGCACGAGGGTCCTCTAACTCTTTGCACCTTGATAGATCATCTCTTTGTGCCACTGGGTAGTTTTCCATTGTGTGGTTTCACCAACATTTGTTTTTCCATTCAAGTTTTGAAAGACATCTTGCTTGCTTCCAACTTTTGGCAATTATGAATAAAGCTGCTATAAACATTCACATCTAGGTTTCTGTGTAGATGTGACTCATTTGAGTCAATTCGTGGGAGCATAATTACTGGATCATATGGGTAAGACTATGTTTAGCTTTGTAAGATGCTGGAAAGCTGTCTTTCAAAGTGACTACCATTTCATATCTTTTAATAATGAATTATTAATTACCCACTTATTAATCTTGTCTGCCTGTAATGAAGCCTGTGCAAATTTTTCTCAGGTTCTAGGATTGGTTTGTAGGCCCATTCTTACACTAGTCACTGGCAAGGGAAATCAGATCTTGGTGATTATGTTAAACCAGCTAGGGTTCATCTCTGGTGATAGATTTGGAGCTGGAGAAGAAAGTACTTTTCCAGAGTGCATCGCTGAGTGAAGCAGGGACAGGGAAGCAGACTATTGAGAGAGAACTGAGGTAATGCCAGGAAGCAAGCAAGAGAGTGGGAGGAAAATGTGGATGAAAGCAGCAGCTCAGACTCCTTCAGGTGCTGCCCAGGACACCCATCCTTCCCCTTTCTTCTCACCCTCCACCCAGCTCAGCTTCACCTTCTAAATCTAGGTGCAGTACAGAAGGCAGGTCTCAGGGTTCCCAGATTTCATGATTTCAACCATCATCACCCCTAACATTCAACCTTCGATCCCATATCCTCTTTCAAAACTTTGGTAATCCTGAAATTGTGGTGTTGGAAAAATATTCAAATTGGTAGAAATGATTAAATGAACTTAAGTAATTGTTACCCACTTCTTATTGCATAGTAATGAAAACTCACCACCTATATCAAATCAGGCCATGACTCCAGAATGGCCTGTTCTGAGTCCTGCTTCTACCATTGAGCAGCTGTGAGAGCGAAGCAGGTGTCCTTCTATAGCGAGCCCCGGGGCCTTTGGTATTCAAATAAGGTGAGACTCAGTCATGTCTAGTGCCTCTTTTGCTGGAAAATTATGTCAATCTGTGCCTTGTTGCAGACTTAAAGAGGATTCCTGAGTAGCAAAAATGCATCAGGTTGTAAAGGATTAAGATTTTTGTGAGCTGTAGTCTGTTTTTATCACATTCATGAAGGGCTTTATTACTCTCTTTAATTGCCCCTAGCCAAGGTTAATTAAGTGTGTTTAAGTTCGCTCTCATTGTAGAATGTGTGCCTCTCTATTCTATGCTCAAGAGTTTATTTTTTTTCCCCTTGCCATTTCTGATCAATAGCTGTCAGCATGCTTTTTGGAGGTCAGTGGCTTCTTCTCCACACTTGACTGGCAGGTGGCACTTTTTGAAGTACTGCACACTTTGCCTGCCTTCTGGCTGTTAGCGCCCTCTCAGTTCTTGGCAGGGCACAGAGCGAGGATCAAGTAACCCAAGTGCTTCCCTCAGACTGACATTCATCGTGGTATTCATCTTCCTTGTCAAGGAATGGATAAAGAAGGCATAATTAAGGAAATGATGGCGCTCTGTCCTTGTTGCCAGAATCCTATCCCATTATCTCTGCTCCTCTTTCATCCTGCTGCTGTTTACCCCGTAGTGACAGTCGCTCAGGGAGGGATTTCTCCTGTCAGCCTGCTGTTTGGATTTTACAACCTCAGATTTGAAATGGAATTTCTGAACACCTCAAAGGATTTACTGTTTATAGTCATCATCTTACCTGTTTGTTTTCCCCCACCTTGCCTGCAAGTTTCTCTTAAGACTGAGACTTGTGGTGGTTTTGTCTTTCTTTGTGTATATCACGTTTGTTTCCAGAGGGCAGTTCTATCTCGTGAGCCAATCCCCATGTTTCTCACCTGAAATGGCTTCAAGGTAGCTTGAACAAGTATTTGGTAACTTGGTATTTCTGAGAGTGTTTATATGGCATGTGGCAGGTCAAAAACCTACAGCCATTTAGCAGCTCCATTGTTTCTGAGGACTTTTAGGGAGGCACCAGAGATGTCTTCTTTTCCTGCAGTGTTCGACAACATTTCTAGCATGTTCTTTATACCAGTCCTCTAAATGGACCAGTTAGAAAGGCAAGACATCTGCTCTGAGGGATCATTGAATTCTGTGTTGGTGGCTGGCAGTCAGGGGTGACTTTTCAACTGGAAATTAGAAAAAAATGAGCAAAATTAGAATGACTTTGCAGGCCCTTCTTGTTGCAAAGGATGGTGGTGGCCTGAGGGCCAAAAGATTCAATCTGCAAAAGATCAGAGGTAGGCCGGTTGAAATGGAAAAGGTGCAAAATCTCTAAATTCTGTTGTAGAGGAACATCAACCAGGAACGCTGTTCACACGGCAGGGTCTGCAGCAGCCGACCCTGGTCCTGACGTGAAACCAAGGATGGCTTGGTTGTGGAGCCTTGGAGACATCACGCAGACTAGAGTTGAATGTATTTGGAACACAGAGCCAGACACCACCTATTTGGTTACCCCCTAACTGTTCGCTCACCCCACATCTGTTTGCAGGTTCGAGTCGTCCTCCCATGCCATCAGCATGAGTGCCTATTTGCGAGAGCAGAGGAGGGAGCTCTACAGCCGGAGTGGAGAACTTCAAGGTGGGTGATTGAACTTCTCAGGAAAAATTAGTTTTCTAGAGGAGGATCCAAAGTGTTTTACAGCATGTAAGTTTGTGGTCTGCCTTCACAGGCATCTTTCAAGATAACAACAATTTAACGACTTGATAATCTGTTGCTTCTATCATTTCCCAGCATCTGCTGCCCAGTAGCTAAAACTATTACAATGGCCACAGGATTTATAGAGCTGTTACCATTCAAGTGGGAACTGGAAGCAAAAAGAGATGAGGTCATTCTCTTCTTGCTTACAGATGGCAGACATGAGTTCAATCACAGGCGAGGGGAATGCCAATCTTCTCTGACGGCTACTGTTACATTCAGTGTTTTCAGTGTCTTCTGGAACATGACAGGGATACCTGATATTTGGAAAAGGGCACATGTAGCCTCTGATATTATTTAAAGACACGTAGGAAAGAGCCTCCATCTCTAAACACTATGTTCTTATCAACCTAACTTTGCTATAGAGGTATACAGGACATATGGTACCAATATGTGGTTATGAAATAACTGTAATCTGCAGAAGACAATACTTAGGGGGATGGTAACATAAGTAAATTTAATTAAATAAAAATATGACCTATAACATTTTCTTGTGTGACAAAAGGAATGCTAATCATGGTAAATACAGTCAATTAAAGTTTGAGAGGGACTGTTAAGTTTAAGGCATCCTGAGCATTGGAAGGGATAGAAGTTGAGTGCCAAGAAATAAAAGATAAAGCCTAAAATATCTAGTTATGACAGGAAGACAGAACTGTCAGAAACAATACCAGGGTGTAATCACTAATTCCTGAGTAGATGATCTGCTTATAATTGCTGGAGGAGTTGAGCGAAGAGAGTGATCATTTCAGTTACTTTAGAACTATGGGCTTTCTACCTGAGGGCTGGATAAAAACACTTGATTGGTGTACTGGAGATGCTTGGAATATTTTTCAGTGACTACCTAATACAGTTCAATCTTTAGTTTTTAAATTCATCATGGTTTTACATCACAGTATTAGGAAGTGATTGGCTAGCCTTTCTGGGTTTAACAACTGTTGACTAGTCTTTCCTACCTTCATTGTTAATCTTAATACCTGTCCATTTTTCCAAAATCTTGCTATGCTCTCTCACATTTATATCACATTAATAGTTCTACAGTTCATATACATCTATAGGTATAGATATTAGAATTAAAAGCCTAGGAACATTTGATAATACAGGGATGGGCGATTCACCTGCCAACATTTTATTTAATATTTAAGTGTTAGGATTCTGAACAATATGAAATATGCTTCTTGGGGTCCCGAAGTGCAGGAGTGTGGAGAGCAGATAGAACTGGAACAAGCAGATAGAACTGGAACAAGAGACCCACTCCATGGTCTTAAAGGGGATGGGGGTGACCCAGGCTCTAGCAGGCAGCCACCTCCCAGAAGAACAGGGTAGGCTGCTTGGAAGGAAATGATTGTATCAGAGCACACATTCTGATGGGACCGAGGGTCATGCTTGAATTGGCTCTTAGATGACCAAGGGCCAGAGATTTTCTCCCATACTCACCATGTCCTCGTCTTATTTCAGAGTTGGCTTAAAGAACAGTTTATTTATTTTTAAAGATTTATTTATTTTTATACAAGAGAGGGTGAGATGATTCACCAGAGAGAGTGGGGAGCCGAACAGGCAGACGACCCAAGTTCATTGCTGAGGGGAGCAGCGGGCAAGATAGGAGAGATCTGCCACGCCATGTGGGAATCTCCCTGGCCGGCCAGGAGTTGAACACATGCTGCAGAGTCTGCGAACAGCTTCACAGCACTGTGCTCAACCCACTGCGCCACTGGGGAGGCCCATTAAAGAACAGTTTAAATTTACCTCTTTCCACATGGTTTGTTGCCTTGGGAATTCCTATTTTTGTTTTTATTTGAATCCTGATCATTTTATTTTTTTTTATGATCTAGTAAACCTCATTTTTAGAGCAATTTTCAGTTCACGTAAAAGTGAGGGGAAAGGGAGCATTCAGGTACACTGTCTGTACGTGCACACGCTCGCACACACTACCTCCTCTGCAAGACACACGATGAAACCTTCCTTGACTCTGACAGTTAGAAATGAAAAGGTAGACCATGTGTGATGTTGTGGTTTACAATAAGAAATGCATATTTGAAATTTGTCCCTGTTTCTGGCAGAAAGTTCCCCAAATTCTTGGAATTTCCTACAGGATGAGAGCTTAAAGGTGTCTCATGTATTAATGAGGAGACTTTTAGAAAGCTCCTGAGGATGGGAACTGGTTGCCCATGAGCCAGGGCTGAGAGAAGGCACTTCAACCCCACCCCTCAATCTCCAAGGGGGGAGGGGCAGGAGAATGACCACTGAGTTAATTGATCTTGCCCATGTGATGAAGCGTCCAGACAAACCAAAATGGAGGGTTTGGCGTTTCCTGTTTGGATACTTAGCGAACACCCGGAGACCTGGGGAGAGAGGAGTTCTCCGAGAGGGCCTAGAGGCCCCCTGTCCCTTCCCACAGCCTTGCCCTTTGCATTTCCTCCAGCTGGCTGTTTCACGTACATCCTTTTTATAGCAAATAATTGATCTAGTAAATGAATTGTATCACTACCTCTGTGAGCTGCTTTAGCAAATTAATCCAACCCAAGAAAGGGGTCTTGGGAACCGCTGGCTTATGGCTAACTGCTCAGAAGTACAGGTGATCACCTGGGTTGGAGACTAGTTTCTGAAGCTCAAGGAAGGGATTGCTAGAGCCCTCCCCCCACCCCCTGTACTGAGAAGTACAGGTAACAAGCTGGACGTGTGCTGTTGGTGTCTGAGGTGCAGAGTGGGAGGGTAAGACCAAACCTCTAACCTGTGGAATGTGACGCTATTTCTGGGTAGTGTCAGAATGAAGTTAAATTGTAGGACACCTAGCTGGTGTTTGGAGGATTGGTTGTTGGTGTGGGGAACACCTCTCCCCTGCCCCCCACATACACACATAATCAGAAATTGTGTCTGAGGAGCCCAAAAGAGCATATAATTAATGGGATAGTGATGTATCCTATCGTTTACTCATTTCACGCAGATTCAAACACAGGCAGTTAATAGGGTGAGGGGGAGGTGGAGGAAGAGCATGCACACTGTGCTGCAGGCATGGGGCAGGACTTGCGCTGCCTTCCCCGTGTGAGAAACAGTACAGCAAAGCACTGAAGGGTGAGGGTTTAGGACTCTGATCTAGCCCTGCATTTACTGGCTTTGTAACCTCTCTCTGTTTCCTTACTTCTAAATGGGGTTCAGTGACTGTGCCTACCTAGGAGGCACTGTGAAAGTTAGGCGTTAAGCTTTGGACACTTTTTCAAAAGTGCCTGACTTACAGTAAATGTGCATTCTTCTCAGATGTTGTTGTCAGTACTAGTATTGGCACTGTGGCGTTTCCACTTGCTGTCTGACTTTTTTCTTTGGCTGATGCCAGTTCAGCTTTCCAACTCAAATTTTAGTTGTCATTTATTCTGATGCACCTTCTCTGTGCTAGTCCTTCTCTGCAATCTAAATCTCTCTCTCTCTCTCTCTCTCTCTCTCTCTCTCTCTCTCTCTCTCTCTCTGAGGCTATGGCCTCTGCAGTATACTCACTGGTCTCTTTCTGAGCACCTTCTACACAATATTGTGGATGAAAACTCACTGGTTTGTGTCTGCAACACACACTTTGCTCCATGAAGGAAATAATCTTTTGTTTCCTGTACTTAGCACAATGCCTGGTGCAGTACATGTTCGGTAAGCACTGGTTGACTCAGCGAGCTTTATTTGAGGTCTAAAGTAGACATGGAGCCCCATTATTCAGAGGTAGGAAGGGCCCCAAAAGGAGATGGGCTCCTGGCAGTCAGGATCAGAAACAGTGTTTTTATTCATTTGTTAGTTTAAGGAGAAGGTGGGGGCTGAGCATAGACATCCTTCTGTTCTCTACGGTGATCTGTGGCTTTATTAAGTACATATGTGGCCCTTGAGCTGTCTGGGCTAGGACAACATCACTGTATGCAATTGAAAAACATTTTAAAATCCAACTAAGTTACAGAGGAATTTTATTCTCTGAGGATGGTTAATTGAAGAATCGCTATACTCTTACTGGGAACTTTCTCATCCTTCAACAAACTAATTGAAATACGGGCTTTCCTGCAATAGTCCATTGTCCTTAGCCTCCATCAGCCAAATAGGGGCATTCGTTTCTGGTCACAAGCCAATTTAACACGTCTGTAACAATCGTTGAAAATACTCTAAAAATCATAAAAAAAAATTGACATCACAGGCTCGGTGAGAGAATAGATCAGCTGTCCTGCTTTTGTAAAAGTTGGATGGTGTTTGATTCAGGAACAAAAGTTTCTCTGATGAAGGCTTTTAACATTTCAGCAGGAAAAAAAGGGGTGAAATCACACCTATTTCCCATTAAAAACGTCCATCCCTTTTTTCAGTTTTTCTATTCATCTGACTGGTCCAGGGACCACAGTGCGATCTGCATTTCAGCTTATCCTTGAAAAGGCATAATTGAATAGTTCAGTCAAATCATAAGAGACTGGCAGAAGATTCTTAATGCCACATAGCTGCAGGCTTGGCTTCCCAGTGGTTTGGTTCACAGGTCAGCTGTTCCTTCTGTTGCAGGGGAGCGGCAAAGAAATCTACCAGAAAGACCATCAAAGTAACATTAAAAAAGCTCAAATTGTACAAAAGCTAAGTTCCTGCCAACATTTTCAATTTATCATGCAATTAAAAATGTTACTCAGCCGAACAACACACAAGGGGGAAAAAGAATGAAAAATGAGACTTCTTTGGTATTATCAACCCATCTCAATTGGCGCTCACTGTTATGGTACAGATGGTTCATTATATAGTCTGCTGTTGGCAATTGGGCCGAGGAGGTGGGGGTGCCATTTCAAAGTGTGTGAGATAACAGGTGGAAATCTTACTTGTGTATGTGTCCACGTTAATCATAGGCTCCCTGTTGTTTAGAGCCTCTCCACTGCTTCATTGTACTGCTT